AAGCCTAGGGCATCTTTAAAAGTAAAGATTATTTCTGCTAAAAGCAAATATTAATTTACCAGTAAAAAGGTTTTATTTACACTAACCACTGATATCCTCAAAGAACATGCATAATGTCCTGCAACGTAATCAGATTTTGACAGTTTAAGTCTGGTGGGACTACAAAATATCATCTTGATTATTGCTGAAATCCTCAAGGCTTGTAGTTTCATGATTGAAATCTAAATACCTAAAGGAATCTCTTCCACCTTTCACACCAAAGAATTAAAATAACACATTTGATCTATCAAGGCTTCCTACTTGCTAGTGTTACTCACGATCTACAGCAATGACAACTAGATGGATAAGGCGAAACCTGAAACGATCTGACCAGAAAATTCACCAGTATTATTCCACTCCAGACTACCAAGGACAGTTTTCTATGAGGTAAGGTAGCTCAGCATCAATTACTTCATTCAAATAAGGCGCAGCTAATACCTGTGTAGGGCAGGAGTTTCATTTGTAATTAAAGAGTGTGATTGCAAAACATATTTTGCAGTTACCTTTTTGAGCTCTTGCTTTTCAGTGTCCTCTTTTGACGCTTCAGCAGCAGCATCCAGCTGCAGCTCTGTCTCCTCTTTCACAACTTGTTCTTCAGCAGTTTGCACAGCAGCAACCAAAACATCTGGCTGCTCAGAGTTAACAGGGGTCTCACTTCTCCCACTCTCTTCCATCTCAGCTTCCTCAGCATGTAAAACAGGAGCATCATCCAAGTTTTCAGATGTATTTTTCAGGGCATCAGCCGTTTCTGTCTTTGGCGCAGAAGGGCTGACAGCGACAGATGCTGAAGCAGAAGCCCTGCCTGATAACTCATCATCTGAATTTATTTCACTTACACTTCTACTATCTAAAGACTGTACACTAAAGGAATCAATTCTTTCAAAAGCATCAGAGGAGCAGCAGCTCTCGGTCATTTTTTGAAAGTCATCTAAACGATTATAATCTGCACAGGCAGACGTAGATAAAAGCTGAAATGATGTTTGCATTAAATGGAGACTGGATTTTGAATCTGCAGCTTCTTGTCTCGAACTTACTGAGCTCTCACTTATTACACTTTCATGGTCCAGAACTTCAATATCACTAGTTGTGGATGTCCCCGAGGAGAAAGTGCTAACAGGAGGTGAGGGTGTATTGCTTTGCCTGTCCTCAGTCTTTCGCTCCCGGGTTTCCAAACCCGTGTCTTTTGTACCTGCATTAAGAGGCTGCAAAGTGCTACCTGGTGCACCTCCTGTTCCATCCCCTTCTACACTGGATTTTTCATTTATAGGTTCTTCAGGTACTTCTAAATTTAGAGCAGACACCTTTTTTTCAGTAACTTCATTTGTGCTTTCTTCATGCTTAACATTAGATTCAAGCACAGAATTCTCTTCTAATTCCTCCTTGGGAATATCAAGGTTTTTCAAGTCTTCTAGGCCAGCTACAGAGGAGTCCTTCACTTCTGTCTCTGTCGTCACTGGTACTTCCACCTGACTGGGGTGCTGAGGCTCCTTTAAAGTGCTTTTCACCTCCTCTTTGGGTCGCTGTGATTTGGCTGGAGGTTTGGACACCACTGGATTTTTCTGTATGCTCTGAACATCTGTTGAAGAGAGAAAGGCACTGAAGAAGTTTTCAGATTCGTCTACTACCGTCCTCCTCACTGGCTTAGTGATTGCTGTTGGTGATGCTGGCTGATTCTGTGCTTCTGCATTTGAACTTAAGCCCCAGGAAGATGTATCCCATCCTCCACTTACGAGAGAATTTGTTCCTAGAACAGTAAAAAGAGATAGGCAAAGAACACTTAAAATGTATTATTTTTCAGTATTTGTCACTTTAGATGCAACAGTTCAGAAAATAAAAATGGTTTTGATAACGTTTAACTTCAAATGAATATTATATATCATCACAATTAGCACAATTTTCCTTACTAATTCCTTAAAAAGGTCGGAACTGATTTTTAAATAAAGCAAAAGAAGCTTAAGGGAGACACAAAGTAATTCTAAAATTTCAGGTGGACAAAGACACCTCTAGAAAGTAAGACCTAAAGGAACCAATTTGCTCCTTCCCTCTTAAACAGTAACTTAAGCAAAGGCAGAAAGAAACCATACACAAATTACACTATACACAATTACAGTAAATTCCAAGAGTGAGGATTTCAGAAAGAAGATGGAGAGAAGTGTCTGGGAAGGTGAAACAAGCAACACAGCATTCCTAAAGCCAGTCTGAAGCCTATTTGGGCACAGAAAGCAAGAATTTCCTTTGCAAAGGGAACAAGAGAAAAGGAATGTGGCCTCCTGCTCCCTGCAGTGAGAGGAGGCTGGGCAAAACAGTCTGTAAAACTGGAGTTTGAAAGTAAAGAATTGTACAGATTACAAAGGGATGAAACAACTACTGGGTCTTAGAAGTTATCTGCCAGTAGCAGGTAACAAAGACAAACACTTTGCACACCATTACAGAAAACACGGGGAGAAAAAAAAGCTTCAACTATCTGTAGAATTTACACTATAAGAAGCCTTCTTGCCCTTTCAGTTTGTGACAGGCTTCATGTTTTTCCTCACACACCAAGCAAGAGCACAAAGCTGATAACACACACTGTCAGCAGCCCAGCTAAGATGATAATTTTGTTCTCCTGTGGAGAAGTACCAAACTGGTTAGTTCTGAAGCTGCCCAAGCCAGCATCAACAGTTTCTATTATTGTATTTCTTGCAGGTTTTCCAGGACTTGTCAACAGAAAGGGCAATAAGAATTTCAGCATCAAATTTCAGCAGCATCCCAAGTAAGAAAGATAAATCAAAAATAATATCCAATTTGACTCTGTATCTACAAACATACTCTGGATAACACACTACAGGCTACTTCAAAATAAGCTTACTTTATACAGCAGCATCTATTAACACCCACCAAGTTATAATACTTAAAGCAGACTACCACTGTCAGAAACTGTTGATAGCTGTTGGCCTCAAGATCCCAAATTCAGATAATTACCGCTCTCACTGCCAAAAATACTACAAATATCTGATTTATTACTACCTTGTCCATGCACCAATAGCTTCAAAAAAAGCTCTGAGCTAACTGTAACACTGATTACATTTTGACCTCTTTTAAAAACAAATGTTTTCCCTTAAGAACAGATGCAGACTGATCTTTGCTGCTTTCCTTATGAAGTACAGAACTACTATGTATACTAAGGTATAAGTGAAATTGAGAACTGGCTTAGACAAGTCTAAAGTTTTAAGAAACTAAACACAACACAGTCTTTTATAAACAATTCCTGTCATTTAAGACGACTCTGGACTACTGAAGCGACTGACAACTCCCTGCTCCTGCAAAGGGACAAAGACATAAAACCAGCCCGGAAACACTTTCGGTTGTTACAGCTTTCAATTTTCAGAAATCTAATTCTGCTGTGCGTATACCTGGAAATAGCCTCCTCCTACAAATGCATACATTTCTTCTAGATATGGCTGCAATAAAGGAGTTGGTTCCAGATGACCTGGTTTCCCATCCTTTTCTTTATTCATTCTTATCTTTAAAGTAGAAGTAAGTTTCCAAGGAGAGGGCCCTTTCTTGCCCTTTCACTTCCAAACAGCAGCTCAGGACTGGTCACTTTTTTCAGGTCCTACATCAGCACACGTACAAAGGAGACACTTCCTCATAACCAAGCCATGACGATTCTTCCACCAACACATTCCTTTCTACAGATGTTAGAGGATTATGAACTTAACACCACTAAAAGTGGAAACTTCATTTAGTTTAGAAGGACTAGACTTTCAGCTTTTACTGTCACAATGAATAACCCCATGCATGCCTCAGAAAAAAAGCGTAATTTTCCCTTTTTTTATTAACTAAGCGGGTTCTAACACCTATTAGTCCCTCAGCAAAGAAAAATACCGCCTTGAGAAATACAGGAATGAAGCCTAGTGCTGCCTATGCAACAAGAGCATGACACACTGGCCGCGATAGCCAAGTATGGCCTGTGCTACCGCTTCCTCCGCTTGCTGTCAGCGCTATACCCCCCTCGCCTGGGAGGGACGCCCCACAGCCGCTGCGGGAGGGCCGGTCAAATCCGCACCACTGCAACCCCCAGCCGGGCTGAGGGGGGAAAGCGGGGAAGGAAAGAGCCGGCGCCGCCCCACTGCGGGGGCAAGACTTTCTAGGGGTCTAGGGCACGGCTTGGGCCACCCACCGCCCCACACTTACCGTCTCCATAATCGGGGATGACGGCGTCGGGCCAGGGGCTCTCCTCAGCCTGGATGTCCAGCACCCGGTCGATGGACTTCTGGGCCTGCGACAGTGCCTGCTTGGCGAAGCTGGACAGCTGCGACGCGTTGAACCAGCTCATCCTCCGCGCCGCCCGGCCCCGCGCGGAGGCGGCGGCACCGGGCCACAAGCAGAAAGGCGGCGGGGCCCGCGGCCTCGGGCTCGGGGCAGGCAGCGGAGGCTGCCCCCGCCGCCAGGCTCCACGTCGCAAACAAGGCCGCACGCAGCCGCGCTCCGGCCTCCCCGCGTCAGGAGGGGCGGGCCCAGGCTGCTGGCATGGCGGCGGGGCCTGCTCGTCGCTTCACGGTCAGCGGCTGAAATCGCAGCTTCGGTGCCCGGTTCTTCACCTGCTCGACGCAAATAACGAAGAAGGACGCTCTCTTTTAGACCTCAGCTCACTGCTTTAAGCCCCACAGCTTACGTGGGGTCTTTTCACCCTTACAAACATGCGGCTGCTAGCAATTAACCTGTTAAATATCAGTGTCCCCGAGTTCAAGCACAAGGCTGGAATATGGGAAGTTTAAGTTTAAACACAGTTTATAGTTTAAAAGATGGAAAGTTTAAACGCAGCTGACATGCATCAAGTAAACTCAGGGACTTCAGGTATTCAGCACTGCTTACTGGAAGGTCTCTGAGGGAAGCAGCCAAACACCCTAGGTGTTTTAACCAATGTCAAACTCGAATGTCCACAGGTAAGCCACAACTAAGGTCTTTATGATTTTTTATTAATAAATACCTTAACAGCACCAATGATACTTGAACAATCCTGCAATGCTGTGCACAGCAGCTGCTTGGAGACTGCAAGATGTGTCCGTGTATCCAGGTATGGTTTTGTCCTTTCACGTTTGCTTGTAAACGAAGTAATATCTTCCAAACTTGACACCTTTCATAGAATTGATCAAATCAATACCAAATAAGAGGAAAATGCTCATTTTAATCTACTAGCCTCTTCTGGTTTCAAGGTAATTCACAAAGTGTACCGGAGTGCTACGATTTAAAACCACATTGTTGTGCTGCCTTTTAAAGGGTCATCTCTTCGCATATACATATGCACACGTGTTGAAAATAAGAGGTTTGGCCACCTTAAAGTTTCCATGTATCTGAAAGTATACTAACACTAAGATTTTGACAACGAAAACTGGAAAAAACTGTATTCCTATACATCAGAATTCTGTACATTAATAAGCATTTATACAAATATAACCCACCAAATATTGGCTTCTGCATACAATTCTGAAACATGGTGATTCATCTGCATTCCAACAATGCTAGTACTAACAGGAACAATTCAGGCTGCTTTAGCACCCACAGGGCACGTTTATTTTACACGGTGGGTGCAGACTTCTCTCACTGTATATGCAGTTTACTTATGAATAAATTAAGTGGTAAAGTGAAGCTTGAACAACATAGTCTGTGGTGTAGTAACATCAGCAACTGCAAGTTCCTGGCCATCCACAAGCCCCAATTCTGAAACAGAAAAAAAGAAGTTTAAGTACAGGAAACCCATGTGACTTGTCTTTCTTTTAAATTAAAATAAAGTTATGAATGCCATTCCCATAAACTGTGAGTATGATGAACTGAAGCTGCAAACACTTCACTAGCTAAACCAATACCCACCTAATTCAACCAGGAAACCAACAGACCTTGTCAAGAATTAATAAAACACTGCTGAAGTGTGTTTCATTTACATCAGTTCAACTTTGTCGCAATGTTTGTATCTGCCCATGTTTCACATTTAAGCAATTCAAAGCTCAGCCATGAGCAAACTGAGAAAAGGGTATTGTACATACAAGGATAATGAAGCACGTTCTAGTGTATAGTGCAAAAGAAAGTTAAACATGTCATAGTATAGTGCAAAATAAAAGTTAAACATGCCATAGTGAGGGATAAAACTGACTTTCTGTTTAGAGCAGTATCATGAAAATCTACACATGACAAGTGTAAGATACCTTTTAGTGTCTTGGAAAGATTTGGCCTTGTACGTTCTTCAATTGAAGCTACCGTCTGAAGAAAAACAGGTAAAGACAAGTCAAAACATTTCCTTTCAAATTCAGGAAAGTAAATTTAATTAAATGAAGATTATTAAAGATAATTACATATATTCAGGTTACCTGTAAGTAAAGTGTTTTATTTCCCCCATACATAGTTGCTGTGATTGCAGGAGATTTCATTTGCCTATATATAAAACATTTCAAAGAAAAAACAGACAATCAGGTAAAAATACATTTAGAAAGTGCCTTCTTGAAACACTGAACTACAAAAAAATTATCAAATAAATCATAATAGCTGCACACTTACAATGAAGCATTATTTGTCAAGTAATCCAAGATCTCCTGCAGTTTAGCTGATGGGGAAATCTCTATGTTTTGGGGAAGTTGGCTGCAAGCTGGACAGTTCTCCTGCACAGGAATGCATGTTACATTAGTGTTTAAAAAATGCTGCCAGTAAGGTCTCAAAACTATTTGTGTGTTTGTGGGGTTTTATCTCTAGAAATATTAATACTGCTGCAAGTGTTAGTGACAAAACCCAGCTCCTGAAGAGGTCTGTCACTGTTTGACTAGCTCCCAACAGCAACAAAGTATTTATGAACTGTAAATTTCACCTGACATAAAATTTAATACTACAAACTTACAAATCAATTGCTGTCACAACCTCTTTTGGGGAAGATTTGCTTATGAGTCTTCTTAAGATTGTGTATCTTATTTTGTAAACCATATTTCCCATGTGACAGGGGAAGTCTTCAGGATTCACTTTCAGTAAAGTCAAGTATTGTTTCTTCTGCAGGTAATACAGCAGGTAGCACAGCAGAAACAGCTGATACGCCCATGTTGCACCAGCAGACACCAGAAACAGCTGTCTGAAGAACCTCCCTATACCAGAAGCTACTTTTCCAAATATTAAGAAACTTTGGCTAAACATGCAAAAGTTAAATATTTATTTATTACATAAAATATGTAATAGTTTTTGGTAAACTGATGGGTAGAAGAAAAGGTTTCATTATCAGGATATCAAATAAAACATCTGTTCATCTGCAGGTAAACAGCCCTGCTACTCTGCATGGACAGACCACCACTGTCATTACTCTTAGACCCCAGAACCACAGAAAATTTAACAGAACAGAAATTCCTACAAACTAAAAACAACGCTCTGGAGAAGTAGCAGACAAGTAACATTGTAGTTTCTACTTTCAAAACTTCAGAAATACAATTATTCAGTGCTGGGGGTGAAGAGGTTCAATATCGGGTTTCAGAAATATACACAAACTGTCTAAATTCAATAAAGATCAAAGTCAAGGAAACAACCCTGCAAGACTTGAACAGCACTAACCTTCCTCTCAGCTTCAAATGTGTGTGTGTATAATCCATCCACATCATTAAACACCAAGTAGTTGTTAAGAGGAACGTATGCACTGTAATGACAAATGTTTGCGTTAGTATGTGCCATTATGTTAGATATCATGTAAGTTATTAATAAGAAATGAAATACCTTGTGGCTATTTTAAAAACTTCAGTGGCGCAAACAGCTGCAATGAGGAAAAAAACAAGTTTCTTCATTCTAGCTCGGAACATACAGAGACATCAGTGCACAGAGATGTGCCAAAAATGACAAGAAGTAAATCAAGTACAATTTGTAAAGAGAAAAATAAACATCTGAAGTTAGCTGGTAGTTCTATGCATTAATACCACAGATTCAGCATTAAGCTGATACACTGTGGGTTTTTTCCCCATTCTTAAATGCTTTTGATCACTCCCAGAGTCACAGACAAGTTTAAAATTTATAGTCACATACTCTGTGGAAAACAGAAACGAGACCGTAAGAATAAATTAAACTCATTAAAAAAGTTCTCAATTCCAAACTGTTCCCTTACAAAACTCTGAAGTGTGTAAAGCAGAAGTGAAATGAGTTCTTGTAGCATACCTGCAATTACTGCATTTGTAGAAGCTACTGCTGGAATAATTCGTTTAACCACCCCTGTAAAAACAAAACATAGAGCTTTGTCTTTTCCAAGGAGGGAGAGACAACTGAGATACGGCTTTTTATCCAGAATAATTATAGAAGGGTGTACCCAAAAGTACTTTAAGCATTCCAGGAGCTTCTGTAACAATAAGGTATGATGGCATGTTGCTCAAGTGTTTGGGCGCTTCTTTATTTTAGGAATGGATCAAACACGTTGAGAAAAATAAGGTATTGCATAAAGAGAACTAGTAAACTAATTCTAAAACCAAGTATTCTGTATTTACCACGGAAAACTAATTTCAAACCCAGTTCTAGTCTTGCTTAACTGGAAAAATACAGGAAGGAAAGATATTTGAGTTTAAAATTCCTTCTGCACGAACAGGCTTGCCAAACTGTACTGGCATCTGTAGCCAACTCTTCTTCCATCCAGCTAAACAGCCATACACCAATATGAAGCAAGATTTCTTATGCATACAAGTTTGTACACCAGGAACAAGGTTTACTCTTTCTCAGGCCTGCCAAAACACAGCAAATTCCTAAGTAAGCAAGTTCCTCTGGCTTCTCATTATTGACTTGTCCCCTCCATACCTGAGAAAACATGCATAAAGCTTTTATCTTTGCCATCTTTCTTCTATGTACTTTATAATTAAGCCACCTTCAAACGCTGAAAACCATGCTGCCGTGTGCATGCACATTACGTTTAATAACTGGAGTTCACATTTATCTGTACCAAAAAATACTACTAGAGAAGCCAGTATAAACTGCTGCAAAGACAATGACTATCTGCAATACACTAGGGGGAATCTGAGGAAGATATACAACAATCAGTTTGCCCTTTCTTGATAGAAAGGCACACACTGAGGTTCAAGTGTGGCATTTCAAGCTCAGCATTTCAAATGTATTCTCAGTACTACAAGCCAACAATCAGAAGTTATTACAAATTCTGGAGATGCTGTATGAGACTCTCCACTTCTTTTCTATTTGGTTAATGTTTAAAATGCTCAATGAGTGGCAGCATTCTGCATCTGCACCTGAATAGAGGCACGCACAGCAGTGAAGAATAGATGCTACAGTCTTAACCAGCCTAAATTGGCATAAAATGTTGTTCTTGCTAAAAGCAATCTCATTCTACTCTTTGACCCAGCAAAAGTGGTCACAGTGTAATGTAAACCATGGAGCTGCTCCAGGCTAAAAATGGCAAAAAGAATGTTCAGTTTTGTCCCAGTTAAGTTCCTCTGATTCATCACAAACATCTGATTCATCATAAAAATATTTGTGCTGGTATAGGAAACAAGCTGCTTGTTTCTGTTTTAAGGTATTAAGGGAGAAAAGAACTATTTCTTTCTCAGCAGAGCTGCCAACTTAGTCATAACAAACACAAAGAATGCTAATCCAGGCTAATTGCAAATGCCATAAGCTCAGTGAAATGCCATACCCCCCTTACCTTGGGTGAGTCTGTATGTGACACCTTTAATTTTAAATTGTGATGCTCTTTCTAATGACTTCTGGTAAATCCACTGGATATGTTCAGGGTCATCTCCATCCAACGCAACACCTTCTACAGCAGAGTTAAGAATTTACAAGTAAGTTAGTCACAAGACTTCTTCAGAAATGTTTTGTCGAAAAAAATACCTTTCATTAAGGTTAAAATGAATACCCCATTAAGCTATTAAAACTTGATACTTTAAACAAATACCGTTTCTAGGAACATTGTAAATTCTAACACATTCTATACACAAACTATCTTAACTTTGCAGATTTATAGAGCGGTTAGAAGTTATATTTTGAATCAGGAAAGTCATTGTGCAGTATGACAGAGGTAAACACATGATCAAATGTGGAACCTGAAAGCGAGTCCGAGCAGAGAAAATCCATCACCAGCTCAGAGGAGCCTCAGACTGACTACAACGAGCTACCTAAGATTAAAAGGTAGGATTGTTCTATTAAAAATAGCTGTGTATACCTAACTCAAAACAAATCAGTTAAAAAGAGAACTGACAGTTTAGCACCAGTGCAATATACTCATTACCTCCAAAAGGTTGCTCCTTGGGCCACTGCAATATCCTGACATACTCAATACAGTGCTCTGGTAGCCTGGGCATAGACGCAATTGTACACATGGGAAAATTGACCTGGTGTGGGCAGGGGAGGAAAACCAGAATAAAGTGTGTAATACATTATGTACAGTGCTAGGAAAAGAAATAAGCTAATCAGAGGAATATAAAGAAAGGAAGTATCACTGGCTGCAATTACCTGCGGTGGGTAAAGCTCAAGCGTGCATTCAACACAGGCTGTCATACCAGGAATAATCACACGAACATTTCCTTTAAAACCTTCTGTCCCTCCATCGATTAAAGGTATGATGGAACTTGGATCCAGTACACCATCTTCATAGTGTAAAAATGACATCTAATGAATAAATGGGGGGAAGAAGGGGGATTGTTGGATTTTGATTTTCCAAACAAGTTGCAGGGAGGAAAACAAAAAAACCCTAAAAATTTTATTCTTAATAGTACATCACAAGGCTGAATGCTTAATATACAGTTTATTTTAAGAGCACATAGTGTGTAAGACACTACTTATCAGTGCACAGAACTTGATCAACCACCTTCACCCTCCTCCTCCCTTACCCCCCAATGAATGCTGTTTTGCCCTTATACTATACCAAAACAAATGACTAATTGGTTTGAAGGATTTGGGGGGTTAATTCTTGGTTTGTTGTTTTGTTAGGGTTTTTTTGTTGTTTTGTTTTGTAGATACTGGTAAATACTCAAGCCTTCTACTACTGTGTAGCACCAGGGCTCTAAAAGATGACATTTACAAGATGCAGCATGGTAAGTACTGTTTGGCTAATAAGAAAAACCCAAACGTTCACAATGAGATCATCCAGAGAAGCTGTGGAACTTCCCTTCCTATGCTTTTCAAAAGCTGACTGCACAAGGCCACACAAATGTGATCTAAATTTGAAACTACCGCTGCAGGGCACTGCACAAATGTTATCTAATGCTCCTCAAGAAAAAGGCAGCTAAGAAAACATACATTTTATCCTGTTCACAAAGACAAAAGAAAACAGAAATAGATACAGAAAGCTAAAGTTTCAACAGCCCTAATTTCATTTTAATAACACATTCTACACAAATCTGTTCAATTCTAGTTAGCTATACTCAAGCAATAACCAGGCTTTAAAAAAGACTGAAGAAAAAAGACTTTAAAAAGACTGAAGACTTTACCAGCATGCCATTTATCCATCTTCTGGCAATTATAGAGTCCAGCCCACAAACAATAATATGAAATTCTAGAGGGAAAAAGAGTCTATTATTTAAAGTCCACACTAAATCATACTTCTTAAGACAAGCAAAATATTCTGTTCATAACAGTCCAGAGGAACTGACTGCAGTTTAACTATCTCCCTTAGATCCCCTATATTACAGATGCATTTGTCTATTTCATAGAATCATAGTATAGTTAGGGTTGGAAAGGACCTTAAGATCATCAAGTTCCAACCTCCCTGCCATGGGCAGGGACATCTCACATTAGACTATGTCACCCAAGGCTTCATCCAACCTGGCCTTGACCACCAGGGATGGAGCATTCACAACTTCCCTGGACAACCCATTCCAGTGCCTCACCACCCTAACAGGAAAGAATTTCCTTCTTATATCCAGCCTAAACTTCCCCTGTTTAAGTTTTAACCCGTTACCCCTTATCCTATCACTACAGTCCCTAATGAAGAGTCCCTCCCCAGCATCTTTACAGGCCCCCTTCAGATACTGGAAGGCTGCTATGAGGTCTCCACACAGCCTTCTCTTCTCCAGGCTGAACAGCCCCAACTTCCTCAGCCTGTCTTCATACAGGAGTTGCTCCAGTCCCTGATCATCCTCGTGGCCCTTCTCTGGACTTGTTCCAACAGTTCCATGTCCTTTTTATGTTGAGGACACCAGAACTGCACACAATTCTCCAGGTGAGGTCCCACAAGAGCAGAGTAGAGGGGCAGGATCACCTCCTTCGACCTGCTGGTCACACTCCTTCTGATGCAGCCCAGGATACGGTTGGCTTTCTGGGCTGTGAGCGCACACTGAAGCCGGCTCATGTTCATTTTCTCATCAACCAACACCCCCAAGTCCTTCTCCTCAGGGCTGCTCTGAATCCCTTCTCTGCCCAACCTGTAGCTGTGCCTGGGATTGCTCCGACCCAGGTGTAGGACCTTGCACTTGTCATGGTTAAACTTCATGAGGTTGGCATCAGCCCACCTCACAAGTGTGTCAAGGTCCCTCTGGATGGATTCCTTCCCTCCAGCGTATCAATCAAACCAATACTTCATACTTCCAGTACAGTATACTGTAGAAGACTAAAGTAGTTAGCTATCTAACTACCAGGAAAAGTAGGTGATTAGACTGCAGCAACAACTGCCAGGTTTCCCTAAAGGACCAGTGTTTGGCAGGGAAACAAATACCACTTACGTCGATAGAAGCTTTCATCCATGTCTTGAATCTTTTTAAAATATCTGAATGTAAGCCCAGTAAAGGAATATATTTATAAAGTAGATGAGTTTACTGTTTTCTATTTGCTACCCTAAAGCAAAAACATTGTCTAATTTGTTACTATTTGTTATAAAAAGTAGCATATAAAATTAAGATTGAAAATTCCCACAGTTGAATCTGTGGCATCTGAAAAAAAAAAAAACAACCAAAAGTAAGGGACACAACATAATAGTTCACAGAGGAGAAAGCTCAGTAGGCAAACTAGGAAGCTCTAAACATGTGCTCTTGCAAAGTCCTGTGTCAGTAAGTGCTGCTCCATGTTTATAAACTAATGTCTGCTACCAGTACATACTCAAAAGACTGATGAACAAACCTGATATTTAATATTTTAGTGAAAAATTGAATACTGTATGTGAATAAAAAGACTCAATAGAAGGAAACATACAAAAGAGTTTCTTAAAGCTTAGTCTTCTTTCCCCAATGCGTACTTCCTGCATGCCAATGTCACTCAGAAAGAATTCCTAATCACCAGCTGAATGAATCTGTTCTTTATTGTATGAAAAAGAGAGGATGGCAGCAAATTACTTTAGATAGTCTTACCACCTACAGAGTTTTCTAGGTTTTTTGAAGCTTTCAGGGCTACTACTTCCCTACAAAAGGATACGCTACAACAGCACAGTTGGGAATGCGGTTGTTTAGGAATTCTGCTGCAACTTCTGCTTTTGGTCGCCCAACATCCTTCGGACTGGGAAGAAACCAAGCAATTTCAAACACATTTTTTAGTAGATTCAATCTTTCCAGACTCTATGCACTGCAATACTGAATTAAATGACTAATTGTTACTGGAGGACAATTTATTGATATGGATAGTATCACATAGAATAGAATAGTTTGGGTTGGAAGGGACTTTCAAGAGACATCTAGTCCAACCCCCTGCAATAAGCAGGGACATCTTCAACTAAATCAAGTTGTCCTTATCAAGGCATCCCTGTAAAGCATCAGATATAAGAACCTGTTATTTAAATATGTCTATGTACCTATAGTTATCAGAACCAAAACCATACAATTTGTCACTTAGCTTGGAAGAAAAGGGCACCAGAAAGATTGGTATGTCAATCTCTGTGCATTATTCTTTGGTGTCACTTTTTCATTAGTCATTAGCTGTATCTGAATAGTAAGGAACCTATGTTAATTTTCTTCACATCACAGATCCCTGAACAAGAAGGAATCATACACAACATTTAGTTAATTATGAATATTATTGTGATATGAAAGTTCAGTAACATTTAATGACATCTTGTTCAACCAAAATAATGATCATATTCACATATTTTAAGTACATTTAAAAAACCAAAAGTTGAATAGTGAAAATACCACTTACCGAAATAGAAACTGTCGGTTCAGATTAGAAACATCTATAGTATCCATGTCAATTACATGGATGTGTCTGAAGCCAGACAGTGCCTGTGAAAAGAGAGTGTAAACTTCATTTAACAGGAAATGAAATGCTTACAGTGCTCCAGAATTCATTCCACGTGCCAAAGAAACAACCTTTGGAGGTACAAACCTATTTGCTCTTCATTCCCTGCGCAGACAGGTATACTGTTGCTCTTTGTTAAAAGAATATCCTTTGTTGGGTTTGTAATACCGATGTTTACACACATGGAATTAGCCACGTTTCAATGATCAAAGACAAATGTTCTATTGAACAAAATATTGCTTTATGCTAGTCATAATACAGGGAAGTCAACAGTAGGCTGATCCGTAAGAGGAATTTGCAGTATTCCCTCACAACTGGAGTAAATCAAAAGCCCTTATTATGGGGAAAAAAAAGTGTAGAATTTGAAGAAATACCATTGTTTGGCAGGAAGAGAAAACCAAAGTTTAATTCCTCTAAAATGTTAAAGTTTTGAACATTCACTATTTTCACAGTTGGCATAAATGAGTCTGGCATATCCACCTTCAAATCACAGTTCAAAATAAGCCAATGCAAACACATAAAGCTCCCTCCCTATCAAAGGATGCGCTGAACCTCTGGCAGAGGTTCTGCCTGATCTCCATTTGTATGCAGTCCATCACCAGACTGGGCAAATAACTTTGAAGTAAAACTGTCTTAAAACTGGATTGCAGGTCTGATCTGATAAAATAATGTCTGACAGACACAAAGAAACTATGTGAATTGTAGCTGAAGTGAAATAAATGATATAAAACACTGCGTTTAGAGATAGGAAATGTGCTATGATGTTCTGAAGTAACTTAAAAAAATTCAAGTCCTGTACCTTACGCGTTTTCCTTTAAGACCCAATCTTGTTATATAATAAAGACTTTCAGAACTTTACATTTTACATTTTCTGAACAAACAGAGCTACCCCATGCATAATACACATTGAAAATGCTGTATTGGGAAACTGATTAAACAGGTGAACAACAGGACTGAAGTACTCCAGAATAGAAACTGATTCTATTAGAAAAGCAACAAGACTCTCTCTCTGTTATACTGGATACCCTTGATGCAGAGCATTCATTCTGTTTCCTTGATAGATGTTCACCTTTTGTTCAATATTATCAAAGCAGACTTGGAGAGCCTGTTAAAAAGAAGAGTGAGCCTGGGGCATCAGAACATACAGTCTTTATAAAGCTTAGATTCATTGTCCCAGAGACATGAATACATGTGAACAGAATCTAGATTTGCTTACTGTTCTGAAAATCATAAGAATAAATCATGATAACTTAAAACTGTACTGATGGGAATTATACACACACAGCAGACTCATGAAGTTCCTTATTATGTACAAATCCTCCATCTCAACATGCTGTCAACAGATGGAATTTGTTATGTCTCAATGAACACATAAAACAGGAGCTCTGTGCAAAGGTTAAATTCACCAGGACTAAATTCCTAAAGAAAGAAATCTGTCTTGGAGCTGTCATAGTCTCTTCAAGTAAAATCTTGCTCAAGCATTGCAGTAGCAAACCAGCAACCAGAATAAGAGCACATGTAAGTGCTGGAACTGTAAAACCCCTAAGTTAATGGATCTGGGATGCCTGGCTTTAAATGAGGCTATTGATTTATCAACGTTCTCAAGCTTGGAGGAAGCCTGTGCAAATACTGAACTAGCAGTACAGAAATTCTATAGTAAAGTGGACTAAGGCACAGCTGTTAGCGTAAACTAAGGAATTTATTTTATGATAAGTTATTGTATCAATCCACACATTTTCCATGGAATTCATAAGGACAGAAATTCTTCTTATTATATACAACCACAGAAATGTACAGTATTAGTCTAAACTATCAAACTCAAACAGTGTGGTAACAGTAACACATTGATAAATATGAGTGCCTGTGAGGATAAAAACATTTATAAAATAATTAAATTCATACACATTTATTGGGTAAATATCTGATTGCACACGATCCCATAAGTGCATTTTATATGCTTAAAAACTGCTTTTTGAAACACATAGTGAATCCACCATGAACTAACACCATAGTAAGAAAACTACCAAATACCTTCTGGTAATCCATACACCAAGTACTGTAATATTCCTTCTCTCTTCTTACACTATATCTATTCCTCCTTAGACATTTCCAACAGGATATTGCATCTTCGTCTGGCTCAATAAAGTTGGCATTATATGGGCTGAATTCAGACATACATATGTCCCTCTGAGGCATAAGGTTCTGCATACAACCTCCAATTTACTGATCCTGAGGAACTGGAAAACCTGAGAGCCAGTGCTCAGGAAAGCCAAATGGATTCCAGAGTTGTGAAGGTCACCATAGACACAGTCAGCCTGGCTCTACCCATCTCACTATGAAAAAACATAAATAATTCCAGCAATTGGAACCTCACGTTGAATCCAAAGATGAAAAATAAATTGGAATTAAGTTCAACTATGACTGTTAATACTAAACGTTGTGCCGGCTACTTATGGCAATTGAAAGCATCACTTTTCATCTGAAAAGAAACATTTTAGCTAGTACCAGGCTACTTCGAAGAAACATAACTGTTACTGCTGAAACCAGGACACCATTGTATTCCAAATACCACCTCGTTGTATCATTACGAGCTGATTTGTTCTTAGTTTCTCATCTTCCTAGATCCAGTAATTAGGGAAAATTGCCAACACTGGACCATATCTAAGGCTGCAAGTGAACTTTGTCTACACTTCACAAAGATCAACGTGTTGTCCTCCACGACAAGGTTTAAGATAGCCAAGTAACATTTAGTATATTAGACTACCACTTCTAAGCTTTCTGTCAAGATGCATTCTTCAAGTTTATTGTCTGTGTCAGCACGTATTTTATGTATTTTGATTAGAACTTAAAGATTCAGTACCTGACAAATTAACAAAGTAGAAAATATAATTTACTCAAGGAAAAAAGACTGTAAGACACAAAGGGTGAAAACTGAGTAATTACCAGGTTTTTCAGGAGTTCGCATCCTAATCCTCCTGCTCCAATAACCAGCACTTTACATGTGTTCAACAAAAAATCAAGAGCCTGTGGAAAATATAAAACAAAATATTAATACAGTAAATATGAAAAAGCACAATTTGTCCTTTACTTCACGACCCTTATAAATGAGTTACTGCACATTTTCAGTGCCTAATAAAAGTTTCACATAAAACAACGTCTATCAATGAAACAGTTTGTGCTTGCAGGGCTAATCACGTATCAGACTTTTAACGTGTTGTTGAGTTCACACAACTTCTATACCCCAACTTACAGAAAAGCAAGACCTTTGATGTATCATTATTCTCTTCATATTAATTTGAAAAAAGCAAGTTCCACCTTTATTATTCCATTTAAGGAGATGATATTCTCTTCCTCCAAACATTTTACTGAAATAAAATATCCCTCTGCCTCTGGGAGTTCCCCAGCATAAAGAAGACACTGCAGCCCATGACAGGGAGATGGACGATATCACGCTGGGCCCTGACAACAAGGTGGTGATGGCAGGATGGGACTTCCAGTGCTGTGTGTGGCAGCAGGACCATCTGGTGATGGGGCTGTGCTGGAACGAGAACCTGTCCGGCATCCCTGACAAGTCTTACCGCTACCAGGCCTGCTGGTATGGGGGAGTGGAGGACAATGCTGGGCCACTGCCGCTCTAAACTGTTCAGGTGCCCCACAAGCAGGAGCGCTGCCCCCACCCTGCTACCTGACCAAGTGGGGTGGGAAGAGCTTCCTGCCACTGCTCACCCGGCCCTATGGCACTGAGGTCATCTGCCTCTGCATAAGTGACTCGGGTACCTTCCTGGGACCAGGCACAGTGACAGGCTCTGTTGCCATCCACGTCACCTTCTCACCACAGAGGCTGTACTATGCGAAGGAGGCCCATTGCATTGTGGTGACAGACACGGTTTTTGTCCCTGAGAGCCAGCACGGATGGGAGATGCTAGCAGGGAATGAGGGTGCCCTACTCAGCATGGCTGTTGACAGCCGCTGCAAGTGGCACCTTCTGCCCAGCCGACACTCCCTGTCTGGGTGCTGCTGCTGCTGTGTGCCGCGCTCATCGTAGCTGCCATCCTGCTGCTGCAACTCGCCTTCCTGGGCTTCCTGTAGACCCCCAGCCCGGGATGGGACCCTGGGGATGGGCAGACTCTGCCGGGCTGGGCCCACCCCCTGCAGGCTGTGAAGAGGATGAGGAACTGGGGTATGAACAGGGGAGCACAGGATGGTGCTGGCAGCCATGTGGGGCAGACACCAGCAAAGAGGGGTCCCCCTGCCCCACTGCTGCTATGAAAACTGGAGAAAAAAAAATGTATTTTGGGGGGGCTTTTTTTCTTTTTGTGTCCATGGCAGGGGGATTGGAACTTGATAATCTTAAGGTCCTTCCCAACCCTAACTATTCTATTCTATGATTATCTATAACACAAAATAAATATAAACAGACAAACAACATTGCTGGCTCAAAGAATTGATTTTTTAACTGTATAACTACTTTCAGTGGATTGTTCTACTAGACCCCAGTGTCAAACTAGTCAATAATGGAACAGTATATTAAAAAGGCTAATAGTAAAATACATTCAACTGTAAGCTCTGAATCAAAATGCACCAAGAAAAGAAAGCAGAAGAAATATATTAAACAGCCCAGATTTTGCTTTTCCCTACTAAACATCTTTCCCAATTCTTTAAGTATTCATATTAACCTTAATTCCTCCTTTAAGTACAAGAAATTCCTTACTGTATCTAATTACTTAAAAACAGAGAGAGAAATGCTGCTATTTCTCATGTGAAACTTAAAAGACAGAGCATAATTCATATGCTGTTATACATTTTTATATACGATGACAGCAAGCTTGCAGTTGACAGTGTACAACTCAGAAACACAAGCTTATGAGAAGAATACAAGTTCTTCTAGAACCATAATGTTCAACTGATTAAACACAAGCTTTTCATGCACTTTTAGTATTCATACACTGCTGGTGATCAATTAATGAAACTTTACATCAGCCTGCAACACACACTACAGATTTATTTAAAGTAAGTGTTTCTCACTTGAGTGCCTGGCTCGAAATCAGGATGTGTGAATGGTCCAGATCGCTCGAGAAACTTCCTTACATGGTTCCAGCGACCTTCCCAGTCTCCAGTGTCCCCACACCCACCATCAACAGCCATTCTGCACAGAACACAGTAAATTCAGCTGCAAAAATCATAGAGAAAAAGCCACGCCTCCAAAACGTTTTATTTCTTTATATAGCTTACAAATACCTACATTATTGACCATTCATACAAATGCATCTGCATATTCTTTAAGCACATAAGTTATGCACATGAACATTTGCATGAGTGGGTTTTATTTGTAGAACTAGAAAGCAACAATACAAATCTGCATAGAGGGGAAAACCACAGGCATTTCAATAAACCCCACTGATTCTGCTTTTACTAGTGAAAGTTGACCTGAAGTGAAAAAAGGGTCTAGCCATTTTCCTTTAATTTCCCTTGTATTTAAAGAGGACACAGAAAAAGAGGTTTTGTCCCTTTAGATTTCAAGGGTATCAAGTCCTGTTTCCTTTTTCTGACAGATTTTTGAAGTTCATAAATCATATTTAGAATTATCAGTGTGTAACTAGAAATGTGAGGCATTGAATAATAACAGTAAAATGCTCCAACACTGGCCTCTGAGTCTTCACAGTTAATTTAAATGAGTGTTACCAAAGTAAGAATCTACCCTTTTTTCTGCTTTTGCAGGTCACTTTTAGCAGTACATAAATTTAAACTCTTCAGAGACTTACTGGAATAGTTCAACATCAGCTCTCATAAGCAACTTTCCAACACAGGATCAGCACCTACACAGAACAAGCCCTTTCTTAAAGGAGCACACTTCCCATTTTAAATAGGAGCACCACTCAATGTGTATGTACAATTACGTTCTATGTTAATAAAAAACTAAGCTTGTTACAAAAGAGCTTATGAAGTATGAAAGGTTGTGTCATCACTGATAAGGTGCATTATTTGCTTCCTCCTCTGAAGTAACAGGAAGAACACTCAGATCAATAACTGTTGAGTAATGTTTAGAATTTATTCCTGGTGACTTATTTCAGAAGGAAAATGTAGTAAAAACATGTAGACAATGAGTGCCTTTATCCTCACAGAATTCAGAAGATGGACAACACAGTATGTCCAGAGTAACTTTAATTTACAGGCAGTTTGTTTTGCAAGAATTTCAGTAACAGGGAAAACTTCACTAAACTGCAGGAATAAATACATCATAATTTGCTTGTGTTTTGACTGCAGACTGAACTCATTCCTCGTTAACTGCTGGCTTCAGGTAAGCTACTGAATTAACAGTTGAAGATCTAAAACATTTATTTCAGTTCATAAAGGTCTTTTGACCTCTGACTTGCACTTCTGAATCTTCCCCAGTTTCCACAATAATGTGAAAATACACATATTTCACATCATGGGAGAGAGTGTGAATAAATACAGCACTCCCTCTGCTGAACCCTGGGCTCATCTGTTTGCAGGATACATTAAGCACTGTCTTATACAAATAAAATGGGCCAATACACATCACAATTACTTCTATGGATTATATTATAATTCTTAACTTTTCTGGAAACAAGTGCAGAAGCAGTGCTTGGTGACATTAACTTTTTTTTTATATAGTCCATATAAACACCTATTAAGCAGTAGTACTCCCTTTAGATGTGCTTTTCCTTTATAAGTGATAAAACGGTAAGCTCTAGCTTCATTTTTGTGATTATACTACAGTTTGCTTTTTTACAAGGTTGGACATTGTGGAGATCCGAAAAACATCAGTAAGTCCACCTGAGATTTTATGTTTAACTTCAGAGACGGGTTTCTAAAACGTTTATGTTGGTGTTGTTACAGCGTTAGCAGGTATCTGTTATGAGAGCTTAACAAAATTCCTGTTTATTTCATGGAATTACTTTAATTTGACAATTTGTTTAATATATCAGAGCAGCACAGTGCTTATGTTGCTTTAGGCCCAGACTTTCCCTTCTCATCTTCAAAGCTCCACATGTATGAGGGACTTGGCATGCACCCCTCCCCATCCAACATGCACAGGGATTTTTGTGACCCTCACCCCAACACACACATGCACTGCCTGTGAGTCCACCGCTCAGACAGGCAAGTCTGCTTGGTGATCTCTGGGAAGAGGGACACAAGCAGATGGAAGGGAACAGTTAAGGGATGGAAGCAGATGAGGTTAAAGACTACTGAGCATTAGTTTTCAAGGCTGTTAAGACAGATGCACAAAATTTAGGGTTTTAATAAGCAGAGGCAACAGTTCCATAGCCTGAACTTTTAATTTTCAGCCAAAATTTAGTCACCTGCTTCTAGCCTAGAGGTCCTCCCCAGGTCCCTGACAGGCAATGCAGCTCTTCCCACTCCTGTCACAAAGCTCTCCAGCACACCAGCCTTTACTCATGCCAAGCTCCAAGCCCGCGATTCCCATCCCCACTCCGGGTGAGCCCCTTGGTCCTCTCCCCAGGTAGATTACTCTTCCCCAGTCCTTGCTATTCAAGCGCCCTTTCGCGTCCCCCTTCCTCATTTTGGCCCCTCTAACACCTCTTCTCCAGCTCCCTTCACCGCGGGGCCCCGGGCCGCTCACGCACGGTCACCGCAGGCAGCGCCTCTCCATCGGGCTCCACAACTAACCCGCAGCCTCCTCCCAGCCCATACCTCTCCTGCGGGGCTGCGGCTCACCCTGACCTACCAGCCACCCCTCAGCAAGCGCTGCCTGCCCCTGCCCCGGGCCGGGAGCCCGCTCACCCGCAGCCCCGCACTAACCCATCCGCCAGCAGCTCCTCTAGCCTCCTTCTTTTCTTCTCCCTAAAAGAGAGAGAATAAAAGAAGGGTCAGTATCGCGCTACAGAGACCGGGGAGGAGAGAGAGGGGACCCCGGAGCCCACCCGTCCCCGGGAAGCGGGGAAAGGGCCGGCCAAGCACACACATACAGGGCACTTACGGTTCTTCGCTATCCGCCATATTTCCCTCTGCTTCCCACCTTGCTCCGCGGCGCCCCAATGGGCGGTGCTTCCCCAGCGCGCCGCCGCGGTTGCAGGCCTAGAGAGTCGGAGAGGGGGACAGAGCGCCCTGAGCGCCATGGCAACCAGGCGGGGTACCGCTGGGCCCGGAGGTACAGACTGGGCAGCCGAAGCCACACCTGCTTCACGCCGCCACTTCCCTCCCTCTCTCCGGCCCCAAGCGCCTGGCCCCGGGTCCCCAAGGCTCTCCCGACGCCCATATCCCCGATGCTTCCCAGGAGCTCTGGACGGCTTCCCAAGGGACAAAGCGTGTGTGGTGGTCGCTGTGCTTTAAGCCCACGGGAAGACCGGAGACCGAACATGGCCTCTGCCTGGCCGGGTGACTCCTGCACCCGAGCTGCATTATCAAATAGCTTTCTCCTCACAGCTCTCCCCGGGCAGAGTCCGGTCCATGGGCTGCATCAACCAAAGCCTGCACGCAGAAGCCTGTGGTCCCACAGCTAACCCAAGTAGTGGCCTCCAAGCGCTGGGTAGGAGGCAGATGGGCCAGTGGAGTTTGAAAGCTCAAGGAACAACTGTTCTACATGGACTGATGGGGTTCAAGCCACTGTGGCTGCTGGCAATGACCCTCCCCTTCAAAGCCAGAAGGTTTAGGGCCCAATCATCCCATCGCAGGACCACCCTGTGATGGCTTGACATCCCCCCAGTGCCTCCTTGGCTGGGTCAGACATTCCATGGCCCCCTCCTCCATGCTCGGCCCACAACAGAGGATGTGAACTGTATCTGTCACTGAATGTTAAATGTATGTCATATTTTTCTGAGGAAATGGTGTTGGGGTGAGTCTGGAGGTGGTCATGGAGGTGCTTCGAGGGCTGAAGCACCTCTGCTATGGTGAGAGAGCACAGGCTAAGAGAGCTGGGCTTCAGCTGTTCAGCCGGAGAAGAGAATGCTCTGGGGAGGCCTTAGAGCAGCTTCCAGTGCCTAAAGGGGCTGACAAGAAAGCTGGAGAGGGGCTTTTGACAAGGGCATGTAGAGAGGGACAAGTAGGAATGGCCTGAAACTGACAGGAGATTTAGATTGTACATTAGAAAAACAAAATCTTCCCTGTGAGGGTGCTGAGGCCCTGGTACAGGGTGCTCGGAGGAGCTGTGGCTGCCCCATCCCTGGCAGTGTTCAAGGCCAGGTGGGACACAGAGGCTTGGAGCAACCTGCTCTGGTGGAAGGTGGGTGGAAACTGGATGAGCTTTGAGGTCCCTCCCAACGCAAACCCTGCCGCGATCCCATGACCACACAGCGGCCGCTGCCGGCAGCAGCTGCCTCTCTTGGGCACGCAGCGCTACACACGCCTCTCGCTTGCGCTGCTGCTCGCTCCTGCGCGGTTTCCGCGGCGTTCACTCCCCGCGGCGGGCGAAGGAAGGGCCGGGGCCGCCCCGGGGTGGTGCCGCTGTGCTCTCAGGCCTGCGCGGCGGGGCGTGCCGGCAGCCATGGAGGTGCAGGTGGCGCCGCTGCGGGCCTGGGACGACTTCTTCCCCGGCTCGGACCGCTTCGCCCGGCCCGACTTCAAGGACATCTCGAAATGGAACAACCGGGTGGTCAGCAACCTGCTCTACTACCAGACCAACTACCTGATGGTGGCCGCCGCTGTCGTCTCCATCGTGGGGTCAGTGCGTGAGCTCGGATCTCCCTCCGGCAGCGGCGGGCGTGGAGGGGCCGGGCCGGGCAGGCCCAGTTCCCTGGGGGGACGCCTCATTCCCCGGGCGGGTGGCGCTGCGTCTCGGCCCGGTGACATGGGAAAGGGGTAGGCCCTGCGCGCTGCGCTGCCGGGTGGGATGCTGGGGTGTAGGGAGCTGCCTCTCGCTGCCGCTCCTTAAGCCTCTGATTTACCTTGTGTCGCTTAAAATATTAAGGCCTTGGTTACAGCCTCTCTTGTGGAAATGGGGCGTGTTGAGTTAGGAGGAGGGTGTAGGACTTACTTACTGGTGGGTCGGAGGACTCCCTTTTTTTTCCCTCTTCCACGGACTGCTCATCATTCTCTTTGCCCACGGGAACGGGCTCCAGGCACCCCCAGCTTGTCGCTGGCAGAAAGTAGCAATGGGTTTGCGTGCGAATGCTGCTGCTGTCTGCAAAACTGAGCTGCATCCTGCGCAGTGATCTGTGCTTCCTCACTAAATCCGTCCAGTGTGGCCGCTTAAGCTGAGAGCAATATATCCCCAACAAAATTAAGAAGAAAGCCCATGCCACTATGCAGACCTCCACTACTGTATGAATCAAGAAGAAAAAGCAGCGTTCTCAGCCTGTCCTTTCATGGATCACAGGCCAAAGCTCCCTGCAACCCAGAGAATCTTCATCAACTTAGATACTGGGTCAGCAGCTTCAGGAGCCCTATCAAGATGCTGACTGCTTAGCAAAAACAAAAAGAATGGATTTAGGGGAAGAATTTTAAGCCTCTGCAGGATAAGATGCGATGCACTACAGCCAAAAACATTCTGGCCTAATGGCTGGGCAACTCTCCAATTTAAGCATTTGCATTTGTGCATTGTTTGTTGTTAAGAGTGAAGTATTCCAGTTGCCATATTAAAAGCTTAATCATCAGCTTCTGCTGTATGTGTGCTTAAGAGCTTTCTCACCAAAGACCCTAAAGCAATACTTGAAGAAAAGTCACATAGGCTTTGACTCAAAGGATGATTATAAGGTTATTTCCCTATTCTCTGCAGGAAACCTGAGCCTGACAGAACAAGCTAGTAAAAATGAGATTTCCGCAGTCTTACTGCTCTTATAACACCTTGGTCCAAAATACTGTGTTCATCTACAATTGTTTAGCAGCACGATGCTGCAGCCAGCTCTAAATGAGTAGATAAATCACAGTGGGCTTGCAAAGTAGGGGGACAGCTCTTCTCCCCAAGATGGGGGAAAGAATGTAAACAGTTTTGATACCTCTGCTTGGAAAACAGTGATGGCAGCAGCTTTTATTCAGTCTCCTAAATTCCTCCTTATAAACTCCAATCTCTTCAGATCAAGGGTAATACATCTTCAGATTATTTCCCCCTATTTTCCTGGATTGGGAGATGGAGGAGGAAGAGAGCCACAGGAGATGAAGAATAATATCAGAACTGCAATTCTAATATCTTAACATTGAGAGGTAGCCCTCTGAACTGAAAACTTGCAGATGAGGAAAACCTGCAATGAGATTTTTGTCTTAGAGCCTTTTTTATGTGATGAATTCAATTCTTACAACACTGAAGTAAAAAAGCGTGGGAGAAGAACTCTAAAGGAAACAGGATAACAGAAACTATCCTGTTTTGAATTAGATTTTTCACTTGCTTTTGAGAGAAAGGTAAAGTAAGTTTTCCCAATATATTTAAATTGATGACTAAGTTGCTGTCTTGCACTTCATTCTGCAATAGGCAGGAATCCCTGAGTGATCAGTGGTGAATCATGGCTTTTTAGGAACTCCGGGGTTGTACATAGGCCTAACAGCAGGATTATTGAAACTGCTGATGGAGTGGTCTTCCTGTGATCAGAACTAAACTTACCCTGTGACCAACTGTACCTGTTTTTAAACCATCTAATTATATACACAGACTTGTAACACAGAAATGGTATTTTCAGCTATTGTAATACTTGGTAGCTGTGGTGGTGCTAGCTGACGTGGAAATCATAGCCTAGAGTGTTCTTAATACTGGAAGTACAGTGTTTATTGCCACAGCTTCAGTTTACTGCCTCTATTATAACAAAGTTTACCTCTCCAGCTTTTTACTGTCTCTCTACATGGTATGGAATAACCTTACTACGAGTGAGTGGAATTGTAATGGTCTCTGCTGTATCGTTTGCCTGCCTTTCTCCTTCCATCCACCTTCTCTGATAGCTCCTGTTACATGTAAATGATGTTCTGTGCTTTGCAATAATGTAGATTTTACTTTCAGCCTACAGGACTAGGTAAAAAATAAATCAGTGAACAAGAAACTTAGTTAGTGCTAACACAGGCTGGTGGTAGCAGCCTTGTCTCTTCCACCCACCCTCCAAATTCCTTAAGGAATGAATCTTAACTAGCATGCTATTCCCTCTTCCTCTTCCCCTTCCCCAGTTCTTTTGCAATAGACTGCTGATACAACCCAAGATCTTTACTAAGTCAAATTGTGCCCTTTCTCCCAGCTGCACAGGACCTGGTTTGCCTGTTCTTACCCTGAGCCAGGGCCCTGCCATTGTGTGCTGTACAGATACTTATTAAAATGAGTGCCTCCCACAGCAGTTTGCAGCTCCCCTCGAACAATCACTTTGGTTAATAAGTGGAATTTGTCCATGCTTTCACCTACTCCAACAAGGCAGCTCTGTCTTGCAGTTCAAACTTAACTACTTAAATTGATGGCATTTCTTCTAGGCTTTTGTTGCCATGTAGTTGCTAAAAATTAGTTTCTAAATCTGACAGTATTAAAAGGTGGACGTCAGAGTGCTGCATCTAAGAAACTCTTCATTCTCTTCTGGCATGTCTTCTGCACAGCCTGAGGTTTGATGGCTCTTACCTCTGCCACTTCTCTAAAACACCTTCAGTCCATCTCCGCAAACCCGTATCAATGAGTGTGTGTCTCTTCTCCTTCCCCAGACCACTACCTGAGCTGACGTGCTGGTAGCAATTCCCTTGCCAAAACAAAGACACCAGAGCAGCAAAGACACCAGAGCAGTTTCTCAAATGCATGATGAAAGATTAAGAATGAGTGAGCAAAACACATTGCTTTAAAACATACATTGTCTAATGATATTAGTACATAACTTCATGAAGATCTAGGAATTCTACAGGAAGGAATCTGGCTCCTCAAAGCAATGCAAGTGAGCAACAGTAAGTACAGAAGCATTACTTTATCTGTGGATGCTGAGGGCCATCACCTGGGACAATATGCCATATATAGTTTTAGTGCTACCTCCAGTTACAGTTATATAACTGCAGTGAAGCTAAAGTTTGAAGAGAGAGGAGGCAGAACATTATCTTTAAAGCTATTTAAATGAATACAAATGAGGAAGGAAGCATTTAAGTGCTCCAGCCTGCCCTCTGCTCAGAACATGATGGAGAAAAAGGTCTTCTAAAAGTGAATTTTAA